AAAAAAAATTGGTGCTTTTGTCCGGAACGTCCACATCCATCTGCTAAGCTGCCGGACTAAAAGGAAGACATGACAAGTTCTACCAGTATATAACATCCATGAATTATGTGTTTCAGAAATCTATTAAAATACGGCCTCAAAATGCTACTTTGTCCTTGTCGCAGATTCTTGGCTTCTGGCCCAAGCCGGGGGCCATGATCAGACTCAGCCTAAGACTCGCCGGCGCTGCCCCGCCCCCCTCCTTCTCCTCCAAAACATTCGGAAATTCTACCTACGCGCCTGTAAATAGCTTAATGGATGAAATTATGCTTTATTTTTTTTATTTCTATTCTGTAAAGCCTGCTTATTATTAGGCCTATGCAACTATTCGAGGACTGATTTGAATGTAGCACTTCACCACTTATCATGCGATTTATAACTGTCAGTTCCCAAATGTATGCGAGAATTGAAATTAAGTGGTGGTGCCAGTTGCGGAGACAGATTCCTGTCAGTGAGAAAAGAAAAAGTGGAAAAAGAAATGTCATAATTCTACTTTTGGCAAAATATTTTATCAATCTTATGGTGCAAAAATGTTAATGAATTTAGTGTCCTAATATTGTGCTTTAGTACAATTAAATATAGAATAAATTTGAAATTAATTGTGAAAAAACTTCAAAGTTCTGTGCATCCAACAGGGGGATTCGGCCACAGCATCTTAGAATTTTACCTTAGGTCCATAAAGTAGCAAGATTTTCTTTGGCCCTAACATCAAATCTAAAAATAATTTGTCCCTTCAAATATATTAATTAGGAACCAGGGGTCTATATAGTCAATTAAGCGACAGTGCCGAAATATCGAGTGTGTTTGAAAATCGACTGTACCTAAAAACCGAGTGTGTTTGAAAGTTGCCCTTTTGGAGTTCCATACGTGTAGGCCTACAACGGTACAAGAGCGTATCGGTAGTATGGCGGTATTTAAATTGTAATGTAGGCTTACGGCTATAGGCCTACTAGTTCTAATGTTTCACATCACGAGTCTTACAATAGGAGAGGATTGTAAAATGATAACTATGCCATCACTTAACTCACTATAAATCCCTGGATGCAAAACCGTGTATGAAGAAATAAAATGAATCTGTGTTCGCTGCACGACGAGCAGCTGCCATTTTGCAAAGAAATTGCCAGAATGTCTGAGTTTGCAGCGTGAAGTTTTTTGATTAAACGTTTATGAAAACTTATCTATTTGCATTTGTATGTCATTTTTTTTACCGTATGGTGTTATTGTTTGACTATCTGTGTTCACATGAAATTCACATGCACAATAATTACTTCAAAAATTAGTAATGATCCAAATGCGTACACAGATAGAAACATAGGACCTGGGGCCTAAATCCAGAAAAACAACTAAACAACTATCAAAACCAATGATAAACGTCGGTTCGATTAACCTCGATTACGACAAGAAAGTTCAAAAAGATGGTACTGCATGATGCCATATTTTGTTTTCGGATGTTTCATGGGAAAATTCCGATTAAAATTATAAGACTGGCCTTTAATGGTTTCAAAATTTAAGAATTGACTCGGACATTCTGGCAATTTCTTACTTAATTGCTAAAAAGTACAGCTCGTCGTGCTAGCAAACGCGGAAACTCTGTAGGCCTATCAACCTATATTTATAATAAAGGTACCGGTATCTTTTTGTTGAAAAATGTAGGCCTACTTTATGAGTGGTTGAATCATGTAAAAATGTTTTATAATTATGTGTTTTGACTGTGAGAAGAAAATTAAGGTAAAAAAATTAAGAATTAAAAGTTATGTGCGAAAGTGCCTTAGCGCCGGGAAGGCCAAGTATTAGAAACGTACTACAGAGAGAAAACAATGCTAATTTTAAATATAGGTAGCTCGCTTCTACAACATTTACCGCAAGTAAACTACAAAACATAACATTGAGTAAAATAATTGGTACTAACATTGAAATACCCATGTATGTCATGTGACATATAAATTGCATATACATGGCGTCCATTACACTGCAGGGTTTTAGAATGCCACCACTTTGGGTTAATCCTTTTTCTTACCTTTGCCACAACTTATTTTGTCAATTATAACAAGTTTCGGACGATCATTAAACGTGTCTCCCGATTTTACAAACATTTGCTTCATAGATTTATAATCGTTGACAAACACTACTAGTATGTTTCCAAGGTACGCCGAAAATACAGGTCCGTATTTATGAGCATACTTTTTCAGAGAGCTTTGTGGTTGTTGTCCAATGAAAGGAAGGATTCCAACTACCGGTAAGCCCCATGGTCCGGGTGGCAGGTTACGTCGCAGGTTTCTTGAAATATATAAAAGAATTAGTAAAGTTGTAACACCCGCAATAACAGTCTGGATGTTGATTCTAGAGAACAAAAAGATGTAAACCACCTCCATTTCAATGACTGATATCAAGATGCACCTGATCTGGTTGGTATTATGTAAGTAGGCCTTGAGTACAGTTATAGTTTCTTCTTCCACGATCACAGTGTACGCATCATTTAATAATAAGTTATTTACCAAATGTATGCCTATTGTGTTTCACACCGCGATTAGCTACTTGCGTAACCCTAGTTC